TCCACTGGTGTAGGGATTTGAAATCCCTGCTGCTTTCTCTCTTCACCATCCAGCATGGACGGAATATAGTGGTGGTAGCTTATATGGACCAGCCGCTTTGATGGCTGGGTCAGGGTTGGGATTTCCAATGCCAACGCATCATCCCATTCACTGCTAGTCCAAAGACAACATGGCTAATCCATTTAACTATTTTGTCAGTCCCCACAATGTTCGATAAGGCCAGGCCTGCTTGAGAGGGGAAACCTGTATAATGTGACCTCTTGCCTGGTCTGCTCTCCTGGGAGAAGGAGCATCACGTGGGCTTCTATGGTGTCCATAGAGATGGCTGTGGACACAAAGACTTTATGGTGCTGAGCAGAGAGTGTCTGTGGCACAGAAATCCAGGGCGGAGCACCCGAGCAAAGACTGAGCTGCAAAGAGGTGTTTAGGACCTCCAAGGGGCGAAACTAACTCCTGGTGGAGTGGACTGCAAGGTGCTTCGGCCTAATGGATGCCAGCTTGAGAAGGGAGTCCTGTATGGTGTGACCTCTTGCCTAGTCTTCAGGGGTGGCCTTACCCTTCTGCACCTGCATATAGCTCCTAATGCATGTGAGAGACTTTACGTTGCTCAACAGAGAGCATTGGTGGCATAGAAATCTAGGCCAGAGCACCCCAACACCCGAAATGTTCAGGACCTGCAAGGGTGAGACTTCAGGCTCCTGGTGGAGTGGACTACTTTGGCCTAATGGATGCCAGCTTGAGAGGGGAGACCTCTATAGTGTGACCTCTTGCCTGGTCTTCAGGGGTGGCTCTACCCTTTTGCATCTGCATATAGCTCCTAATGCATGCGTGCCCCTTTAAGCTGCCCTTCAGAATGTTTCTCCCTCCCGCAGAGCATTGTTCTCTCCCTGACATTGATGGACAGTGCAAGGTAAAAGGAGGACTTTGATTGGCTGCTACTGCCCCCTGGGAGGAATCCTGCCCCTATCAATAGAGCAGGTAGGGCTGTGATTGGTCGTAGGCAAGAAATAAACCTGCCCACTGCCTGAACAGTGACTAGAGCTTGGAATGGTGTGTATTGCTTGGGTCAGGCTGCTGAAAGCTACATGTTGGTTGGGGCAGCTGGCAGAGCCCAGAGGACAATTGAGCAGATAGGAACCTAAGTACAGGACTTAAGAATGCTGTGTCAAATTGCCAGTGGCCCATAGGAGACAACTCAGGGCTATTGTGGGCAGAGCAGCTGGGAGTGTGAGTCTGGTAGGGGAGAACTACTGAAAGCCTACACTAAGGACAAGCATGCCATGAGGGTGCTCCCATACTCTCCTGGGAGAAGGTGCATCATGTTGGCTTGCACAGTGTTGTGCTGCCCAGGGATGGCTGTGAGCACAGAGACTTTAAGTTGCTGAACAGAGAGCATTGGTGGCATAGAAATCCAGGGCAGAGCACCTGAACAGAGTCCGAACTGCAAAGAGATGTTCAGGACCTCCCAAGGGTGAGACTTCCAACTCCTGGTGGAGTGGACTGCTTCAGCCTAATGAAAGCCAGCTTGAGAGGGAAGACCTCTATTGTGTGACCTCTTGCCTGGTCTTCAGGGGTGGCCTTACCCAGACAGTGTCATCAGGTGTTAGGTCCCTTCTAGCTGGAGTCCTCCTGAAGTGATGTAATGGGTGAGTCAGTGCCCAGATATAAGCCAGATTGGGAGGAGCTCTAGTGTAGTCGGGGTGTGGGAGCTAAACATCCCACACCAGTGCAGATGTAACCAGCTCATGGAGGCCCTTGAAAGGGTTGGAGGCCAGGGAGAGGTAGATGTGCACCCAGGAAAAACCAGCTGTGGATTTCCTGACCCTTATAGAGGTGGGGGCTATGGCAAGTTGTGAAATGTTTTTTAGGCCAGGCCAAGAGTTCCCTGCATGGGTCTATAACCCTGGAGAGGTGTACCTATGGAGGAGGTAACTACAGAGATTCCATTCCAGTGAGTACTAATGATCCTGGGTGGATGGAGAGATTGTTAAGAGGGAGATGGCTGCTTAAAAATACTGCATGATTGTGACGGGAGTGATTTTGGGTGGGGGGCCCATGGAACACAGTTCACTTTGGAGGGGTGGGGAGACCCCTGTCTCAGCTCCCCATATCCCTGTTATGTGTAAGTCACCCTGTGCCTGTTAGGGGTGCAGGGTGAGATGTCCTGATATTGTGTAGACATGTATAGGTGGGGTGGGGGGGTTGTGGATTGTTTGGTGTTATGTGGTGCATCCCATTGTTCTATTGTGTGTCTGGCTTGGGAGCAAACTATTATGGGATGTATGTGTTTGTGTATTGGCTTGGTGGGGGGTGTCTGCTGATGTGTTTCTTGTTGCTAGTCTTGGTTTGCTCTGCCCTGTGTCCTTATGCAGGGAGGAGGGTTGTTCCCTTGAATGTATATATCTTGTATCCGTGTTAAAATAAAGCAGTCTGTTTTTCCTGATTTATTTTAAGACTGGTCTTGTCTAGTCTCGTATGGTCAGCGGTGGTGTCTGTAGATCTGTGTTCGGACAGGGAAGTGGGAGTTCTAACGGAAATACCTTAGTGCAGTCGGGATCCAGTTCCGTTACAATGATGCTTTCACATATGACTGCTGCAGACCATCCACTTAATGTGATCAACTATGTACTGTCAAGTGAATGAATGTGATGTGACTGTTATGCCATTTTTTCAAGTACCACCAGTAAAGTGCAGCAACCCTATTCATATGTGGACATTCCTTCCTAGGAATATAAAGGTCAACTGCTGGGAATGTCTTATGGAGTGAGGCACAATATGGCGGAGGGTTCAGCCTCAGCAGGAGGATCACTGTTATGGCAAGGGAGGAGTATGACAGGAGTGACTTTGGGTGGGGGGCCCATGGAACACAGCCCCCTTAGGGGCTCCCCATATCCCTCCTATGTGTAAGTCACCCTGTGCCTGTTAGGGGTACAGGGTGGAATGTCCTGATATTGTGTAGACATGTTAGGTGGTGTGTGGGGGTTGTTCATTGTTTACTGCCATGTGGTGCATCTCATTGTTCTATTGTGTGTCTTGCTTGGGAGCAAACTATTATGGGATGTATGTGTTTGTGTATTGGCTTGGTGGAGGGTGTCTGCTGATGTGTCTCTGGTTGCTAGCTTTGGTTTGCCACGCCCTGTGTTCATATGCAGGGAGGTGGGTTGTTCCCTTGAATGTTTATATCTTGTGTCCAGGGGCGGGCTGACCATTTGGAAACTCTGTCACTGCCCTAGGGCCCCGGGTCAGTAGGGGGGCCCCATGAGATGCCCCTGGTACCTTTTTCATAGGCTTTTTTGAATTTGGGCAAGGCAAAGGGGCCCCATGATCCCCTATTGCCCAGGGGCCCCATGAGTTGCCAGTCCGCCCCTGCTTGTGTCTGTGTTAAAATAAAGCAGTCTATTTCCTGGTTTCCTTCAAGACTGGTCTTGTTTCGTCCTGTATGGTCAGCGGTGGTGTCCGTGGATCTGTGTTCGGACGGGGAAGCTGGAGTCTAACGGAAATACCTTAGTGCAGTTGGGGTCCGGTTCCATTACAAGGAGAACGGCAGGGGCATGTGCTTTTGGTGCCAACATCCAGCTAGCTGCAAACCAGGAGGACCCATCCCATCGAGCGGATCCTCCAGATGTAGCACCACGCATACTATTAGAAGGAGAAATTTCATCTCACAAGGATTAATATTTTTAATTTAAATAGGAGATGAAACCTAATCCCTCTGATCTGGGAATGTGAGTGGTGATTCCCGGTTTGTAAATACTTCTCCTTTCCTGCTGATGCTGCAATCTCCATATCTGAAGGATTCTATTGATGGGCTTGTGAGATGATGGCCTGATCAGTCTTATCTACAGCCTCCAGCCTGCAAGGTCCTAAGATTGACTTGGAGGTGGAAATTCACGTTTGCAGGCCTGATGTCACGTACCTGGACAGTTCCTCTCCGAGCACCCCTGGATTTTGAGACTTGGTCTGAGAGGGTGAAGGAAAGGCACAAGTGCCACGCTTGTGGGCAGGGCCAACTCACCCAGGGCACACGGGGCCTTTTGCTCTCATTGCTGCATACTGGTGCCTCCCGGTCCCACGATACATACACTTGCCCAGGATGCAACATTTTTAAAGAGAACGACTCTGAGCTTGTGTTCCGTTTCACCAGTCTGGCTAGACTCTGCCACCTATCTCCCAGTGACTCTGCAGGTTCAGATATAAAGGGGAACTCTGTGGATTCAGATGTAAAGGGGATAGCTGCAAGTTCAGATGTAAAGTTGAACTCTGCAGATCCAGATGTAAAGGGGAATTCTGCAGATCCAGATGTCAAGGGGAACTCTGTGGATTAAGATGTAAAGGGGAACTCTGTGGATTCAGATGTAAAGGGGAATACTGCAAGTTCAGATGTAAAGAGGAACTCTGCAGATCCAGATGTAAAGGGGAATGCTGCAAGTTCAGATGTAAAGGGGAACTCTGTAGATTAAGATGTAAAGGGAACTCTGTGGATTCAGATGTAAAGGGGAACTCTACAAGTTCAGATGTAAAGTGGAACTCTACAAGTTCAGATGTAAAGTGGAACTCTGTGGATTCAGATGTAAAGGGCAACTCTGTGGATTCAGATGTAAAGGGGAACTCTGTGGATTCAGATGTAAAGGGGAACACTGCAAGTTTAGATGTGAAGGGGAACTTTGTGGATTCAGATGGGAACTCAGAGGATTCAGATGTAAAGGGGAACTCTACAAGTTCAGATGTAAAGGGGAATCAGAGGTCAGGGGGGCTTGCACTAGGGCCTTGAGGGTTCTAGTTATGCCTCTGGCACACATGCGTTCGCCTCGCAGCTGTCTTTTTATATTCTGAATTAACATTTGTCCGCTGACAACTGAATAAAGGAAATATCACCCCACTTCTATATTTGAATATCACAACTTTATCCAACTGCAGCTTCTAATGTACATTGTGAGAAGCTCAAAATGTGCAGTGAAATCAGAGGAAGCCATTTCAGTCCAGGGGAGGAGCCAGTACACCTGTGCAAGACTGAAGGGGAGGAGCCGGTACACCTGTGCAAGACTGAAGGGGAGGAGCCGGTACACCTGTGCAAGACTGAAGGGGAGGAGACGGTACACCTGTGCAAGACTGAAGAGGAGGAGCCGGTACACCTGTGCAAGACTGAAGGGGAGGAGCCAATACACCTGTGCAAGACTAAAGGGGAGGAGCCGGTACACCTGTACAAGACTGAAGGGGAGTATCCCGTACACCTGTGCAAGACTGAAGGGGAGGATCCCGTACACCTGTGCAAGACTGAAGGGGAGGAGCCGGTACACCTGTGCAAGACTGAAGGGGAGGAGCCGGTACACCTGTGCAAGACTGAAGGGGAGGAGCCGGTACACTTGTGCAAGACTGAAGGGGAGGAGCCGGTACACCTGTGCAAGACTGAAGGGGAGGAGCCGGTACACCTGTGCAAGACTGAAGGGGAGGAGCCGGTACACCTGTGCAAGACTGAAGGGGAGGAGCCGGTACACTTGTGCAAGACTGAAGGGGAGGAGCCGGTACACCTGTACAAGACTGAAGGGGAGGAGCCGGTACACCTGTACAAGACTGAAGGGGAAGAGCCGGTACACCTGTGCAAGACTGAAGGGGAAGAGCCGGTACACCTGTGCAAGACTGAAGGGGAGGAGCCAGTACACCTGTGCAAGACTGAAGGGGAGGAGCCGGTACACCTGTGCAAGACTGAAGGGGAGGAGCCGGTACACCTGTGCAAGACTGAAGGGGAGGAGCCGGTACACCTGTGCAAGACTGAAGGGGAGGAGCCGGTACACCTGTGCAAGACTGAAGGGGAGGAGCCGGTACACCTGTACAAGACTGCAGGGGAGGAGCCGGTACACCTGTGCAAGACTGAAGGGGAGGAGCCGGTACACCTGTACAAGACTGCAGGGGAGGCTGGAGTTCAGCTTTAATACAATTCAGATGTATACTTTGTAACGATTCGATGACGAATGATCACCTTGAAATCTGTAAACAAGGATTTTATGACACGCTGAGCTAAAATACAGCTATGAGGAAGATGCAATAATGAGGAACATGAAAATGTCTATTACAGCTGAAGACAATACAAATCTGATATTCCAGAGGCGAGTCGCTATCTTCAGGCCCACAGTGCCCCCTGCTGTGTGATCTCAGGATGGCAGTGGGGAGCAAACAAAGGGACTTCATGAAGCAAGGCACAGCTGGACAGATTTTATTTATTACAGGTACTGATATAACGCCATCAATATACACAACACTTTACATGTACACTCGACAGCCACTTTATTAGGTACACCTGTTCAATTGCTTGGTAATACAAATTGCTAATCAGCCAATCACACGGCAGCAACTCGGCATTTAGGTATCTAGACGTGGTGAAGACTTCTCGCTGAAGTTCAAAGCGAGCATCAGAATGGGGAAGAAAGGGGATTTCAATTACTTTGAATGTGGCATGGTTTTTGGTGCCAGACGGGCTGGTCTGAGTATTTCAAAAACTGCTGATCTACTGAGATTTTCATGCACAGCCATCTCTAGGGTTTACAGAGAATGGTGCAAAAAAGAGAAAATACCCAGCGAGTGGCAGTTGTGTGGAGGAAAATGCTTTGTTGGTGTCAGAGGAGAATGGGCAGACTGGTTCCTGATAATAGAAAGGCAACAGCAACTCAAATAACCCCTCGTTACACCCAAGGTATGCAGAATACCATCTCTGAACGCACAACACCCAACCTTGAAGCAGACGGGCTACAGCAGCAGAAGACCACACCGGGTGCCACAACTCTCAGCTAAGAATGGGAAACGGAGGCTACAATTCACACAGGCTCACCAAAATTAGACAATAGAAGATTGGAAAAAAAACGTTACCTGGCTTGATGAGTCTGGATTTCAGCTGCAACATTCAGATGGTAGGGTCAGAATTTGGCGTAAACAACATGCAAGCATGGATCCATCCTGCCTTGTATCAACGGTTCAGGCTGGTGGTGGTGGTGTCATGGTGTGGGGGATCCATCCTGCCTTGTATCAATGGTTCAGGCTGGTGCTGGTGGTGTCATGGTGTGGGGGATCCATCCTGCCTTGTATCAATGGTTCAGGCTGGTGCTGGTGGTGTCATGGTGTGGTGGATCTATCATGCCTTGTATCAGCGGTTCAGGCTGGTGGTGGTGGTGTCAGGGTGTGGTGGATCCATCCTGCCTTGTATCAACAGTTCAGACTGGTGGTGGTCATGGTGTGGTGGATCCATCCTTCCTTGCATCAATGGTTCAGGCTGGTGGTGGTGTCATGGTGTGGTGGATCCATCCTTCCTTGCATCAATGGTTCAGGCTGGTGGTGGTGTCATGGTGTGGTGGATCCATCCTGCCTTGTATCAATGGTTCAGGCTGGTGGTGGTGGTGATGTCATGGTGTGGTGGATCCATCCTGCCTTGTATCAATGGTTCAGGCTGGTGGTGGTGGTGTCATGGTGTGGTGGATCCATCCTGTCTTGTATCAATGGTTCAGGTTGGTGGTGGTGGTGGTGGTGGTGTCATGGTGTGGTGGATCCATCCTGCCATGCAGCCGACAAATCTGCAGCAGCTGCGTGATGCCATCATGTCAATATGGAGCGAAATCTCTGAGGAATGTTTCCAACACCTTGTTGGATCTATGCCACGTAAAATGAAGGCCGTTCTGAAGGCAAAAGAAGGTCCAACCCAGGACTAGCAAGGTGGACTTATAGAGTGGCCAGTGTATATTGTACATTCAGGCCATGCCCTCAAGGAGCTTACAGTCTAAATCTAAGGTCCCCAATATACATTCATACATACAGATACTAGTCTGTGACTAGAGGGAGGGAAGAGAGAGAGAGATAGAGGCAGGGAAGAGAGAGAGAGGGGAAGAGAGAGGGAAGAGGGAGGGAAGAGAGAGAGAGGGAAGAGAGAGAGAAAGAGAGAGACGTGAGAGAGGGGAGAGAGAGAGAGAGGGGGAGAGAGGGAGAAAGAGAGGGGGCGGAAGAGAGAGGGAAGAGGGAGGGGGAGAGAGAGAGGGAAGAGAGAGAGGGGTGAGGGAAGAGTGAGGGGGAGAGAGAAAGGGGAGAGAGAGGGAAGAGAGGGGGGAGAGAGGGAGAGGAGAGAGGGGGGAGAGAGGGGGGAGAGCAAGAGGGAAAGAGAGAGAGGGAAGAGAGAGAGAGGGGAGAGACAGGGAGAAGAAAGGGGGAGTGAGAAGGAAGAGCGAGAGAGGGGGGAGAGAGGGGAGAGAGAAAATCATATATACATACACACACTTATTGACTCTCTCGCTCTCTCATGGGGAGGGGTGCAAAATTTTTGTGTTGCCTAGTGCAGCACAAAATCTAAATACACGACTACCCTAGTGCTGCTAGGCGTAAATGCTAACCACTTAGCATCCATGTTGTCCATGCACCTTCTGTTAGATGTCCTGCCAATCATATTAAGGGGGGGTGGGCACAGAGTGTTGACTAATGGATTAGGGTTTAGCAGCAAATGAAAAATAAATTGTGAAGTGTCAGTATAATCATCTATAACATCTTCTCATTATCAGAAATAACGTTCCGCTTTTTAATAGTTCTGCTCTCCTGCTTTGATTGGACCAGGTCAATTGATGCTTCAGGTCCAGGTGGACACCATTGCTCAGTTTCCTGGAATTCTCTGGAGTACTTAGAGACATAGGAGGATATTAGTAGCTGATTCCTGCTATTATTCCTGATTGATCACTTGGAGTAGTAATAGATAACTAAAAAGGTGGCTCGCTATGCAAGTAGCATGGAATTCAGCATGATTACAGCCTCACAAAGATGCAATATGATCTTTTTTTTTGGTCATCCTGAGTTTATTGAAGGACAAGTCAAGGATACAGAATGAGGAAAACACGGGGGGGTGGTGGGAGGGGGAAGGAATGGTACGGTGTAAATATAACATGTAGGAAGGGCCAAGATAATGTTGCTCATACATTGCATCTTTAGGTATTCCCAAGTTTTCATTAGTGTGGGCTCTACTCCCTGAGGGAACAATAAAGTCTTCAGTCCACCTTAACATGTGCAAGCACTTTGACATGACACATCTCCCTGTTCCCGGCTCAGCCAGGAACCAGTTTTGGAATTGGTTACCCATAAAAGTAAAGAGTCCAACTTGCTTACCAACACATTACTTGTAACGGAAAGGCATTCACACTCTTGTCAAATTCTTGAGGTGGCTGTTAGCATTTTCCTCTATATCGGGCAACCTTTGTCTTGTCCCTAGTGCTGAACCAAGACCTCCAGACATTCCCCAGCCAGGCAACGCCACTTGCTTTGAATATTAGATAGCTTCCAGGAGGACCCTAATATGTCCCATAGGGCCAGACTCAAATTCCCCTTCTTGTTTCTACTAACTGTATGGCGTAACTCCACTAATTCTTCCAAAACGTCACTATATACTAAATTCTAAGTGCTAAGCCCAACTAAGAGAACCAAGAGCTCCAGACATACCCCAGCCAGGCAACACCACTTGCTTTGAATACTAGATAGCTTCCAGGAGGATCCTACCAAGTCTCATAGGGCCAGACCCAAATTCTCCTAATTGTTCCTACTAACCCTATGCCCAAACTTCACCAATTCTTTAGAAACTCCACTGTATGCTAAGTTCTAAGTGCTAAGCCCAACTAAGAAAACCAAAGCCTCCAGACATTCCCTAGCCAGGCAACACCATTTGCTTTGAATACTAAATAGCTTCCATGAGGGCCCTACCAAGTCCCATAGGGCCAGACTCAAATTCCCCTTCTTGTTCCCACTAACTGTATGGCGTAACTCCACTAATTCTTCCAAAACGTCACTATATACTAAGTTCTAAGTACTAAGCCCAACTAAGGGAACCAGGACCTCCAGACATTCCCCAGCCAGGCAACACCACTTGCTTTGAATACTAGATAGCTTCCAGGAGGACCCTACCAAATCCCATAGGGCCAGACCCAAATTCTCCTAATTGTTCCTACTAACCTTATGCCCAAACTTCACCAATTCTTTAGAAACTCCACTGTATGCTAAGTTCTGTATGCTAAGTTCTAAGTGCTAAGCCCAGCAAAGGGAGCCATGACCTCCAGATGTTCCCCAGCCAGCCTATACCACTTGCTTTGAAGACTACATGGCTTCCGTGAGTATCCCCACCATGTCCCATGGGGCCAAACCCAAATTCTCCTTCTTGTTCCTACTAACGCTATGCTTGTACTCCATTAATTCTTCTGAAACTCCACTACATGCCAAGTTCTAAGTGCTAAGCGAAATTAAGGGTACCAGGACTTCCAGATGTTCCCCAGCCAGGCTACACCACTTACTTTGAGGACTACATGGCTTCCAGGAGTACCCCACCAAGCCCATGGGGCCAGACCCAAATTCTTCTTTTTACTACTAACTCTATGCCAGAACTTCACTAATTCTTACAAAACTCCACTATAAATAATAGGAAAGGACACCTCCTAGTGGCAGAAACAGACACTCCTCCTAACACCTCCTTACACATGTTACAGTCAAGAAACTTGTTGAGTTATTGAGTCCCAACAGGATCCATATGGATATG